CAACTTTCTTTGCTTGCCTGATTATTTTCCTGTGATCTGTTCTCGAAGACAAATACCGAGTAAAACAGATTGCAGTTTGATCTTAAAGAGATTACGTTATGCTGCTTTAAAAAGTATACATATAATTCTTCCTGTTTCTACTTTAGTGAGGAAAAGAACAGAATAAGTGAGAAATATACTTATCTGTTGATATGCGCTGATAGCAAAATAGGTTAAACACTACGCCGACGAAAAGTGAGTGTCGAGGTTCGAAACTCGTCAGCGCTTAATTTTTATGATTTTTCTGCTTTATCTGGCTGCAAATTATATTTTAAATTTTTTTGCTGGGGTGTCGGCCATACGTCGGAGCCAAACTAGTGCCGATCCACTCAGTCGACCATGGGCTACAAAACCGCACTAGTCTCAAGTTGGCAACATCTCAAGAAAAAACTTCTAGAAGTTGATATGTAACACCATTCTTTTTTTGAATCAACATGTTTTTAGACTAATAACTGAACCTTGGCGAAAGTACACTGAACTTTTGCCCATACTACCCGTGGATTTTTGCCAATAATTCAATGCAGGTTACAACTTTTTTAAACGTGGGTCGGGTAGAAACCGGGCGGGCCTGAATAGGTGTACCCTAATATAAAGCTAAAAAGTTTTCTGGACACCCTCTGAAGATCCCAAGCGGGCTGGAGGTATTTCCAGTTGATTTCTATGATAGACTATCTATATTCTGTAAGTTTTATCACCCGTAGAGAACGTTTTTGGTGTTATCAAATTAAGACCGATTTCTGGCGACATCACCTTCAGGACTTCAGAAAAAGGTCCCTTAGTTTTTTTCTCTTTGCATCAGTAAGTATGTCAGTCCATCGCTTTGAAATATGTTCTCTCTCGTCGTTAAAAAAGAATTTTCGTGTTTTCTCTCTTGTGATTGTCTTATCCATAGAATATCTGACAGCCATTTTTCCGTATAACATCGGAAGCGAGCAGGCATTGTTTGTAAGAGAAACAATAAATGGTGAATGTACTGTACATTTATTACTCGATGGAAGCCAGCGCAACAGCCAATACTATTCAACCTATTATTCATCCAATAAAAATGACGCATAAAATACCAAGAAGAGTCCACTAAATACCTCACCACTCTCCTTCGCAACTCAGCTAAATCCAATAATTCTACAAACGCTACTCATCCAAGTTGTAAAAATCAATAATACATACTCCAGCCTTAAATCAATCCATAACTTTGCAGCGTTCCTCTGCAGTAGGTATACCTGCACCCAATCCGCAAAACGTAAAACCCAGCGCAGTACTTTCACACACCAATTCACTGAATTCAGTACCTGCCTTCCAGAAACATGTCCTGAGTTTGTCAATATAAAACGGTATTTTCAACCGAAAATTCCATGGCAAACATGATACCCCTAAACTCGACACTCCAACACGAAACAGTGATCGATGACATCGAAATCTATGCCTGAGAGCCGGACAAAATCGCAGATTCCTGATGAGAAGGAGTACCACATGTGTTCTACGGTTCTTGATTTTGTCCGGTATTATGACAACGTGTTTTCAACTCAATAGAGTGCACGGAAAACACGAAACTGTGATCGATGACATCGAAATCTATGCCTGGGAGCTGGTGAAAACCAAAATTCATGTTGAGCGCGTGAGAAGGTTGTGTTAGCCCTTGCGTCCTAGTTGCACATCATTGCTTTTTTATTATTGTATGTTTTGTTTCGATGTAGAGTTGAGCTGATGTAGCTCGTGAAATGGTCGATGACAGTTAAGTGCGAAACTGAAAGAGCATGTTAATTTTTCAACTGTGTGTCTGTAGATTTTTGAAATTATGCATGGGCAATTAGGTCCATAGCTATTAAGTTGCGATATTGAACAGTGACTTTTCTGATAATCGGAGGGTAACGGGTAGCAGTACAATAGCTTCTTGCGAATAGAGCACAATGAACGCCACAGGATGATGTGTCGTCTTGCTGTCCAAAAGACTTTGGCCGAGCTATGGACCATTGTTTAAAGTCGATTTTTTGTCCGAATGATAGATAGTGTTGAATGTCTAACAATTTAATATTGATTGTATATATTTTGTTTTGGGGAAGGTGTTTGACAGTGCAGAATCAAATTCAACGATAAACTTGTTTTGAATATCAGTTATATACATCAACGAATGTTGATGATGATGAATGGGAAATAAAACAATATTATTTTTAAACCATTCATTGTGAGATAGAATAAAATCTTTTGCAGCAAATTCACGTTGAATGAATGCGTGTGTACCAACTGAATCGAATAAAATTGGGTTTTGGACGAGTTTTGCTGTTAGATATAAATGTGGATTTAGGATTGTATCATTTAATTCATAGTTTGATTGAATTAAATTTTTTAAATCATCTGCTGATAAATCATATCGATCAATAACATAATGTGCAGTTTTTTGTGATAATTGATCACTGACTATGTTGGTGTTTTTCTTATCTGGTTCAGGTAATAACTTCCATGTACTAATGTCTAATTGTTTTTCAGCAGGTGTTGAATATGTGTCAAATGTTCCTTCGTTTGCTTTATAGCAGAGCAACACTTGGGTTGCAGCAGCTAGAAACGTTTTAATCGAACCATTTCATAATGGTTTGAATCGTTTAAACGATTGATTATAACATAAATAGTCGGAGTTGGAACACTTTTTAACAATAAGCGTTCGTGCATCTTCAGTAATAACTATTAAAATATTTAAATAATAATCAATAATAGTCGATGTTAATTCACATCTTAGTGATAAACGATCTCTTATTAATCGACGCAAACCAACATTTCTTGTATTATGGGTTACTAATAAATGGCTTGAATTTTCAGAGATTATGTAACATTCGTTTTTAGTGTGTGTTTCACCACGACAATTACGACCTGAAGTATTCAAATGGATTTATAAATCAGTGTTGCAAACATTCCATTATAAGCGCGGGCTGTAACCACATTTCTAGTAAAAAGTAAATCTGTGACATAATAAGTGGATAACTTACATTGCAAATTTGGAACAAAATACTTCTGAACTAGTTTATTTTCTAAATCTAGAACTCCATCGGATGAAACATCTGATTCATTTGAAAACTAAAGATACTTACAACCAATAGAACGCCACCCTACAGAAAGAAAAATAGTATTCTACTTTAATACTCAGAAAAACTGTTATTTACGACACCTACTTTCAGTACACTGTAAACATGTGTACGAAAAAGCAAAAACCCAAGATAAAACATTCGTTTCTTTTAATATTACATTTAATGCATTTGCTAAACATAACGCTGTTTTTGGATCACTTGTTCTTGTTGCACTACGTTGAATCGTATCATCAAAGTTATTTATAATTTGTCTTAATATATCGGTAAAATCAGTTTTCTCGGTTAATGGACGACGAATATACATTGCTGCTGCTGCAGTATAATGTTCAGAAAATAGAATTGATTCTTTTACCTTTTCTATTGTATTATCATTACATTTGTACCACTGTGCTCCATATTTAAAGGAACAAACATCCGTGTTTTTAATTGATAATAGAGGAAAGATTATATGTGGTAATCCAGAGGACTGTGATGAAATGAGAAGTTTACAACATGACGATGAATACGTTAAATATTTACAAACGTTAGATTTGAAAGCACATGAAAATGAATTTTTCACGAAAAATGTTGAAAATCTTCGTGCACTATTTTTAGATGTTTATCGTAATCAAATATCAAAATCTATTGTTCGTGTATATGCACAGTATAAAACGAAACAAGGTTTATTAACAGCCTGCTCAAGTGGACTGTTCTACGATAATCGTATTTTAACATGCAAACATAGCGTAGCTGAAACGATAGAATTTCAAAATAACGTTCATAATCATTAGCGCAAAATCGACTTTTTATACGGGGAACAAAATCGGTTCAAATTTCTTTTCTGAAGAGCTTATTATGTGAATCGACGGGCAGCAAAGTATCTCTTGATTCAAATCACTTTTCACATTTTGGCGCGAATAGTAGCGCGTTTTAAGTGGCGCCACTATTCGCGCCAAAATGCGAAAAGGGATTTGAATCAAGAGATATTTTGCTGCCCGTCGATTCACATAATAAGCTCTTCAGAAAAAAAATTTGAACCGATTCTGTTCCCCGTATAAAAAGTCGGTTTTACGCTAATGTATAGCAAGTACGTATCATGAATTGCCTTGGTAGACATATGTGTTCAAGATTTATTTATTTCAGATATAAAGTTTGAATATGATAGTCTACTTATGAATGCAAAAGAATTAAAACATGTGTCAACACAACCGGGATCAGTTAAAGTTGATGCTGTTTATTATAACGACGAGGAAACATGGTCATATGGTTACGATTTATCCATTTTAGATACGGGGAAGATAATTAATAAACATTTAACTAAAGAAATGGTTTTATCATTATTATGTGATAGTGAAGAAACAGCAAATAAATCGCATCAAATTGGTGTTCTGGGATATCCGGGTGTGCCGGAATCTTATCACCATTTACAGTATCATTTATATCAACAGAATATCCCAGGGGCTATTTCTGGGAAAATTGGCCATTTGCTTGCAATATCAAAGTTATTTTTTAATTTTGAAAAGCTGGTTTTATCAGCCGGAGTAGTTTATGGCCAAGCAGGAAGTTCACCTCGACTTTATCCTGGATTATATGACTCCTTAAAGGGGATGTCAGGTGGGATTGTAGTTGATTCAACTGGTTTAATTATCGGTACACATGTAAGTGCGTCACGTGATGGTTTTAATAATTTAATAACACCTGCTTGGAATACTGCCTACAAAGAACTAATTGAAAATACATGAAATGTTTTATTTTTTTGTTTATTCTGTTTTTTTCTTGCAATTATGTTGTATTTCAATAAACTCGATAACAATAAGTTAACTAGTGTCTATGATCAGAAGTCAAGTTGGAAAAGATGAATGCATAAGATGTTAACAGTTAGCATGCCAGAGGTAAGCATGTATGGGTAAGTTGGGTTTGCTACAAGGGAGAAAAAGCAGCACCTAGTACCGATTAGAGTGCTAAAAGGTGCCGTAAGGTACTGTCTATTGTTCTCTTGTCTTTTCACTCTCTATTAATCAGTATACTAATCGCACTGGCTTTTACGTATTACATACTATGTAATACTAGTTGATATAAGCTTTTTTCTTTCAGAATACAAGTGGAGAAATATTCCATTATAGTATTCTAAAATACCCTCTAATAATCGTTTAGCTGTTACTTTTTTAGTTTTGTCTACGAATAAACTTGGAGAAGGAAATTTGGCTGCGTTTGCATCATACTGCTTAGAAGACAATAATACCTTATTTTTTATTCAAATGGAGCAAAATAATAAAAACAGAAGTTTGTAGTCGGATTTGATCCCTTTACCCATCCGCCATCTTTTTACGAAGCGAGAACGCTACTGATAGACTAAGTCGATAGTTTTGGGTGCCGAAAAGGTGCTTTTCCCCCCTTAGTTTTAAGCCTCTACGTATCATATACTGTAGATCATTATATAAAAAATCAGTAACAAGAATAAAAAACACTTCACGTCAAAAGCTTACAACTGTTTAATAATTCACTCTTTCCACGGTTGTACAACTAATATTACAATAATTGTGATAATTACAACAACAACCCATATAATTATAATTGTTACTTTATAATTTTCACATCTCATTGATTGACGAATTTGTCCAGCACGTCCATGAAATCGACAGGCTGATTCGGATAAAGTTTCAGCACGTTTATTTAAATTCTCTAATTTATCACCACGTTGAATTAATTTATCAATGGTTGTCTGTAGGACACTTGTCGTGTCACAGTCAGCAGTTCGTAAATTATTCAAATTGTTTGTTGTTGATGAAAATTCGTCTGTACTCATTTTTTACAAATTTTGAAAACCTTATGTAAAAAAACTCTTATAAATTCTTATAGTCTTTTTATACAAAATATCAAAACAGGTATAATACCACTGATTACAAAAAAAATACACGTTTTATCTGACGAAGGAACATTCCCAAGTGAGGCACGCCGATTTTTTTCATTCTTATGCCGATCGATAGAGGATAGTAAGCTAGTAAAACGTCCGAAAGGATTCGTGCGCATGACTCTTGAAGATCCGGAAACGAGTTCTTCAGAAACTCTAAAAAATAACCAGAACCTTTTCTTAACGATGTATGATTGTAGCCCGCACATTTCTGATTAAAATGAGACATCCTCCAGCTCTACATGACCCTTCTTTGCAAAGTTATAGAATTTACAAGAAAAGCCATAAATTACTTCTTATTTCTGTAGCTTTGAGCTGACAATGAACATTTATGGCTTTTCTTGTAAATTCTATAACTTTGCAAAGAAAGGTCATGTAGAGCTGGAGGATGTCTCGTTTTAATCAGAAATGTGCGGGCTACAATCATACATCATTAAGAAAAGGTTCTGGTTACTTTTTAGAGTTTCTGAAGAACTCGTTTCCGAGAAAACCGGATCTTCAAGAGTCATGCGCACGAATCCTTTCGGACGTTTTACTAGCTTACTATCCTCTATCGATCGGCATAAGAATGAAAAAAATCGGAGTGTCTCACGTGGGAATGTTCGCTCGTGAGTAAATGTGTAACTTTAGAAATATGAATCATATCAAAAAATAAAACTGACAAAAGAAAAATGTATTTTTTGGCCTTTTCGATGTCCAAATACGTGTGTTATTACACAATTCTTTCATGTTCGTGTTCACACGGAATGAGATAATTGATAGCATAAGAGTAGTTAATGAAAAGAAACGGTTTCTTATTTTGGATTTAGTACATTTTTCGAGAAAATATGTTAATTTTTTTGAATATGCAGTTCTACACTGTTTTTGTCGCTTAACAACAAGAAACTTTATATGAAATATTTTACACAAAAACTTTTTAAAAAGTTCAGAGAAAATTTGTTGACAAGAACCACAAGAAATTTCGTATTTTAGAACGTCCATTTTTGAACGTACACTTGCATTGTACACTCTCTCAACAGTTGATGAATGTTTTCGAGAGAGCCGTTACAATCGAAATCTGGAAGAAAAATGATTATGTAAATTGTGGAGTGGGAAATAGAAATTCAAGTAAGAAGTACAAAACTGCAACGAAATGCATCTTTTAGTGAAGTTAACTACTACACTGATTTACCGAGCATTTTCATGAAAATGACCGAAGAATAAACAGGTCGAAAGCTCGGTAAATCAGTGTAGTAGTTAACTTCACTAAAAGATGCATTTCGTTGCAGTTTTGTACTTCTTACTTGAATGATTATGTAAAATTGAGTCATTTTGCAGAATTATAGATGCATGGGAGTAGGTATGCACCGAGCTTCGAGCTACCCGAAAATTTAAAACTACAAAACTAGTTTCTTGTTTATGAATGTAGTTTTACATTCTAATACCATAAGGCTACTTGCTCATATCACCGCTGTCTAGTTGACTGCGATATCTAGCCCTGTAGATGCAAAAATGGTCAACTTTATCCACGCAGAAATGCAATTTGATAATAGCCAACATTCATAGAGTTGAGTAACGGAAGAAGAGCAGAGACAAAGCTATTGACACTCAAGAACTCAAAAAGCTGCTTCGGACACAAACCGAAAAAAGTCAGTTTAATTTTCAGAGGAAACTCATATAGCAGTATGGGATGTGGACACACAACACAAATATCGTTTGCTAACATGCTAAGTAGAATAAAAGCGTGGAATTCTCTTTAATGTGAAGGCCTGAGAATAACAGCCACGGATAATTCAAACTACATCGGTAGGATGATAAAAACCAAAACTACGAACAGACAATAAATGTACGGTGATATGAATTAATAAATGATTAGATTCTAAATCTGATTTCGTTTCAATTGGCAGATACAAAAAAGTAGTGTCAAAACAGAGAAATTTTGATAAGCAGAAGAAGAGGACCCTAGTGAAACTTCTTGTACCCAAGCTCTTGGGTTAAGAAATGTCACAAAATCTTAGAAAAAACACCAAGAAGTCAAGCTCTTGAGTGAAAAATTTTCTTTACAGTTTGTTTTTATTTATGACAGTCATAGCGACCATGTGGAGTCATAGATTCTTCCTTAAACAACTATGGTCAAGAAGGAAAAAAATTCGAAGTTATTTTAATTGTGAATATATTCGCACTTATGTTTATACAAGAGTGTAAAACAAAACGATGATTCAAGAATTTCCAAGATCTTGGTACAAGAAGTCAAGAAATCACAAGATGTTCAAGATCTTGATTTCTTGAAATTTATCTTGAACATCTTGAAATTTATTGAATTCTTATATTTTCTTACCGAGAGCTTGAATCAATATCTTAATAAAAAATTCAACGGAATGGCTATTGCCGTTCTCTGAGGGTGTCAATAAGAGCCGTCGTATTTAACTTAAGAGTGTAAGTTCCGGCAGGGATCTGAGTAGGTGCCGGACATTGGGGGGGTGTAACGAAAGTTTTTTGTCCCAGATAGTGTAAACTTTATTTTAAATAATTACCTTGTTACCGTTCTTTTAAACTTTTGGGGCAGTACGCACCCCCCCCCAAAAAAAAAATTCAGGTCTCTGAGTTCCGATACGCTTTGTGAATTTCTTTGCATTGGAGTTCTAAGGATGTTTTCCCTAAGGCACAACTGGTTATTGATGTAGCAGAGGTCAGCGTGAATCAGAGCTTGCACTGTTATTGGCTTCCATTGTTTATAAACATCAGCAGAACTAACAAAGCACTAACAATAAATAAAGTAAGACAATTAAGTTTTGAAACAAAATGAAGAATTTTGTCGTAGGAAGTTCTGTTTTATTCTCACTCCATTTTCAGCCAGAGTTCACAAAAGGGTAACTGTGAACTAAATCTGTAACGCGCGTGGAGTGCGTCCGCATAGAGGTAAGGTTTTAGCTATCTATCATCCATAAATGTTTCATAAATTCATTTTCTAAAGTTCTAGTTGCAGGATACCACGCTATTCTTCAGAGATGTCAGAATATCAGTACGCAGTGTATTCTCAAAAAACGACTATTTTTTTTAAACTAGGTGGGCTTGGTGTATTCTCATTGACAATACATGAGAATACGCAAATATAGTGTCGCTTGCGGGGGGAGGGGGGGGGGCCGTAGGTGCAGCATGAGTGTGAGCCACTATGCAACATTTCGTGGATGAGAATACATTCGAAGTTGTATGTCGGAAATTGTTACATTTGTGTATTGTCAATGAGAATACACCAAGCCCAAGTCAACATATTACACTTTTTGAGTGATAGTCTCACAAATGCAACCAGTTGTGCGTACAAACGTAATTGAAAAGGAATACAAAAGCACCTTGAATGACAATAGAAATAACCAATTGTGCCTTTGGGATAATATCCTTAGAACTTGAATGCAAAGAAATTCACAAATCTTACCGGAACTTACACTCTTAAGTTAAAATACGACAACTCAAATTGACACCCTCAGAGAGTGGCAATAGCGCTACCCAAAATTCAATAAGTCAGGATCTTGGTTACAAGAAGTTTTACTAGGGGAAGAATATAAGATTGAAACTGGAGGAAGTTAGCTCGATGTGAGTAACATCGAGAACACCTAACGGTTCGAGAAAACTTCGCTCGTTTCTGGAAAGGTGCATAAAAAATCTTGTTCTGAAAGCCAGGTATACTAAAAATGGTCAGTTGTATGCTAGATTTTATAAGTGTACAATGTGGTTGTCAGCCCTTTTTATCATCGAAATAATTGAGCACTTTTCTCTTATTAGTAAACATTATTGAAGATATTTGTTGTCGTTAGTGTCGAAACTTTTCAATAATTTTCATTCTTGAGTGAAAATCACGTTAATTTGCTGATGTACTAAAAAAGAATGAAAGATTGTGAAAGCAGACGAAAGAACGCCACGCTGGTCGTCAAATTTATTTTTACCTGGCACTAATGTACCTACGAAAAGATTTTCTTTAGTGCTTGAACCTTCACTGGCGCCGCGAACGCCCAGAGTTCTAAGTAAACCCACCACTGCAACAACTGCTAGTGTAATGAATGAAGATTTTAGTATTTTATTACAACGTGCATAAACATTCTGCTGTTTCTTTTGTTTTAATTCTTTTTCCTCCTCCGATGAAGACAATGGCGCTTTCTTTGTCATTGGTACTTTCTGCAAATAGAAGGAAACTATGCTACATTTTTCTTGTACGACCAGTAATACACACTGTTTTTCTCAAAATTTAGGGTGACGCATGCATTAGTCAAAATAAGGATTCTAACAACAATAGAAGAAAAAACGCAAAAACGAGTTGCCGATATGGACGCACTAAAACCTATGCGTAAACGCGTAAGAATACAACCAAATACTCATCGTCAACGTAATAGAAACTCATCCGCTTTGTTTGCGTCTGGTTCAGCGACTGGCGTATCCAATCACAACACTCATCTTACGGAAGACGTAAAAGAGCTGGACAGTGGAATTTGTCACAGCGATCATCACTCGGAAAGTTCAATATCAACAGATGACGACATAGATGAAGAAGACGAGAAAGCTCAAAACGAACTTTATCTTCACAAAACGCGTAAAATCTATCCAGGTTCTCGATTATCGATGTACCATTTCTGTGGTCAGCTCGTTCAATTAATGCGTGATTCGTTATTAGATAAATCGACGATAACGTCTTCACTGCGTTTCATTTCGACGATCTTACCTCATCCAAACTACATTCCTCTATCATTCAAATCCTTGATGAAAATCGTGCCTGTTCAGCCGTCTTTCGAAAAATCCACGTATTGTTCAAAATGTTGGAAATCAGTGGAGCTAAATAACAACACTGAAAACAGTATGGACATTTGTTCTCGTTCCGGTCGTGTTAACGTTACGGAAGTATTTCAGTCAAATGTGAAAACTGAACT